CCCCCGACCGGTAGGTGCCGACCAGCCAACCGGCAGCTGGTCGCCCCCCGACCAATCCAGGGGCGCCGACCGCCGGCGGACTACTCTGCATCCCAATGCATTCCCAACTGGACTCATAACAAACATTGTGAAGAAGGCACACAGTCAGTCTGACTCTGGACTATTGAAGCGTCAACCACTTACCTATGCCTCACAAGGAATGCGTAAACTGCTTGAATGACAGCAATAATCGCAAAGACTATGGCAAATCTGATCATTTGTTTTCCAAGGACAATGGAAACAACTGCAGCAAAGCCGAAGGCCACAACACCACCCCAAAGTGCAAAGGTCACCATAGCTTTAGGGAAATTTCTTGTCAGCAGCAGCCATAGCCATGCGAAGACAAAGGACACCAAGGCCGCCACGACCAGTTGCGGCACAACTTCCCTCGCCTCGGTATCAACATCGTTCGTTTTCGAAGGCGGTGCTGAACTATCCTCAAAACCATTCTTGAGACCTTTGCCTCCCAGGACGACGGCCAGAATAGCAATTGCAATGAAATGCATCACAAAAAGGATGGCCGCCCAAAGATCCTGGCATTTCCCAGCTTGCTGCTCCACAGTTTCACCGTCTCTCACACCCGACATCATCCTCGGTGGCTGGTTCGTTCATAAATCCAGAAACATGAGGCAACAGCCCAGCAATGGACAAGCGAAGAGAGGCGTGAAAATTTGAAAACGCACATGCAAAAGGCCCCAAACCATAGTTACGACTAACCCAGACACTGGAACAGTCCAGACGTCCGGCCGGACCTGTGTCTGGACTGCTCCAGACCGCCCGGATTAAGAACCCCTCTTTAAAAAAAAAAAAAAAAAACCCATCAAGATCCAATCCAGTAAAAATACAAAACTAAAAATTTCAGACAATCATCACAATCCCCACATTATATACCCCAGCAAGAAAAAAATAAATATGTAATGACCGTCATAACACAGACTGAGAACACTGCTGATTTCTGAAGTTCTGCCGATGGAATGGATGCCTTGATGAGATTCCCGCATTCTGCTGTGTTTTCTAAGTCTGTCTGTGTGTGTGCGTGCTTGTGACCTGCATGCCTGTCTGAGTGCTTGTTGGTATGAGTGTGTGTGGGACCCGCAAGGGCACTTGCTTGTTTGGTGGGCCCGTAGGGCCGGTACTTACCTGTGGCCGTGGCATTGAGGGTTGTAGCAGGGAAAACACTCAAGTGGCGAAGCTAGCGGCCCTGAGGCCCTTGGGGTAGCGGAAAAACACTCAAGTAGGCCGGTAGGCCGATACTGCACCAAACTGCAGTTGACGTGAGGGGTACTGGAGGCCGAGCAGAAAAAGACAATGTTGGCATTTTTAGAGTCCAGTAGCGGTAGGGTAGGTCTAGCCCAGTACCAGTCCGACCAGTCTGAGTCTAGAGCCTGTACGGGTAATATCAGGGTCTGCAATGATGTTTCCCTCCGAAACGGAGGAGGTACCGGTTGCTTGGAGAGGCCGAGCGGCCTGGAAGTCACCGCCCAAGAGGCAAGCAGGCCGGGCGGAGGCAAGAGCTCCGCCTCATTCTTCAGTGTGCGAGTTGGGGGTCACACTGCTGGAGCGCTAGGTGGTGAAGCGCTGGGCACTACAGCGCTGCTGGGAGGAAGAAGCCGGGAGCTTCCACCTTGGCTATGGTGGAGCTCAGCCGGTAGGAGGAGGAGGGAGAAGGGGACCAAGGAGGAGAGTGGTAGGGTACTTACCTGGCTATGGTAAACACCATCTTCATCTCCTTGCTAGACGCTGCATCAGGAAGGCCCCAGTGGGGGTAGTGCCGCATCAAGGAAGCTCAGACAGAGTCAGGCATGGCGGTTGAGTGGGCAGCGGCGTAGCTGCTGGGTGATGACCTTGAAGTGGGGCAGCGGTATAGCTGCTTGGGGTTGTCGTTGGTACCGGAGGCTGAAGCCTCCGCCATAGCCTCGGCCTGTATGTGGAGGAAGAAGAAGGGCTGCCATGGCTATGGTGGACCTCATCTTGTGCCTGCAGTAGAAGTGGGATTCGGACATTGATTCTGGTTCAGCTGCTCAACATTATTATTGTTTATTTATTGTTTGAATAAGAGAGGAGGAGATAAAGAGGAGGAGATTGTTGAGCGAAGAAGAAGAGCTTTGTCTTTGTAGATTGTTGAGCGAAGAAGAAGAGCTTTGTCTTTG